CTCTAACCACTTCTAAGCTTACCCACAAAAACCTCTTTTCTTGCATAATGTATTTTAAATACTTCTTGCACTTGGGTGCCAACAACGTCATAGTTAAAGCCCAGCACAGACAGCAGTTAAGTTGCAAACCTCAGACTGCATCTGCAGAAGGGCCTGCAGAGCCAGGACTCTGAAAACAGAGTGGGGGCAGTATTCACCGTCCAGAAGCTCCTATCCTCTGGAGCAAATCCAAAATGTGAATAAATGCTCTTGGTTAGAAATAGCATAATCACACAGGCTTACTAGATGAATCTGCATCAGTGATTATACACTGATATTTCAGTCTTTGCAAAAGTGGACCACAGCTTCATTTGATGTATTTATTCAATGTTTCACATGTTTCTTTGCTGCATTCTCTCTGCAGTCCCACTACTGGCATGTATAGATTTGACTTTCAGTTAAATGAGTTAGTGCTAGGCATGTTCATTTTTAAAGGCATTTCTGAATAAACCAATACTAAAAATGTCCAAGGACACATCTATATAGCATTAATTTTTATATTTAATATATATTTTATTAATTAAAAGAGAAAATCATTACCAGAATTGAATATTCATGCTATTTTAAAGGCAAGTAGTTTCACGTTTTGGAGAAAATGAAGCTGTTTCCCATTGTCCCTCCACTCAACTAAATTGTCATAGTTTGTTTCCAAAAGATTTGGGGAAATAGCAAATAATTTAAGATTTATTTTGATTCTGTTTATACTTCATAATACTTAGAGATGACTGTGGATAACTTAAGATTTCTTCTTTTTCTCACTTTAATCTTATGTTTCTAATAGACTTCCTGATCTGTGTGTAAACCATCACACTTGCGCCTATAAATAGGTTACTGCGGATGTGCTGAGAAAAGTCAACAGTGGGCCCTAAATATATTGCATGTACATTTATCTTTTCCTCTGTTTAACTCCACTGAATTTTTTAATAAAGGAGAAATGAAACAATATGTGTTAACAGAAAAATCCTTCTTGCTTCAGATTTCCCAGTTTTATTTTGAGGGGCAAAAGTCTGTATCTCTCTTTAACCAATATTGAAAAAGGCTGTGTACTTAAGACATTTACATTCATGGTGGATGTCACATCTGTTTAAGTCTAGAGGTATAACAGAGATCAATTACTTAAGCATAAATGTGTTATTAAGTGCTTAGCCTTTTATGTGTTTCTCATTCAAATGTGTTAGTAATTCTTATATTTTACAAACTAAACTTATTGTATATAAAGCTATAACATAGAATATACACTATTTTTTTTTCCTTTTGCCATAAAAGATATCTTTATATTATATTGTGATTCCCCTCCAGGTGAAAGAAAACTGACCAGGCATGGTGTATAGGCCTAACTCCACATATTAGGAACTCACAAACCGAGACATTACATGTCTCCTTTACATGAACAAGTCAACTTTTCACTCTCAATTTAGATAAAACTACAAGCATGAGAAAAATATAGAACGTTTCATTGCAGTTTTTATAGTCAGGTAATGTTTTAGCAACTTGAAATCAGCACTTAATTTGTATTACCCATCAAAGAACCAATAATATTTTATTTTTCTGCAGTAAAGGAAATGAATTATCTTTATTTTCCAAATGTCTAAAGCACAAATGTGATATAGTTACTTAGAATACAAAATACTATGAAATGAATGTAAAGAATGGAAAAATGTATTTTTGCATGAAAAACAAATCACTTACAAACTTGCTTTATGTCTCAGGAAAAAAAATAATGAATGATCATATATAAAATTGATAAACTATATGTTGAGCTTAGTTGCTGTATTTTCTTGCCTGTTTCTATTTTAAGGAAGCATATACATGAAAAGAAAAAAACCATCCTGATAGTCTGAATTTTCTCTAAAGTATGCTGCACAGTGCTTTGTGTGAATCTACAGTTAACTGCAGTAAGAATGGGATTAACTTGCAAGTGAGGACAAAGCCCTAAATGAAAAACTGTTCACTTAGAACATATGAATAGTTAAAACCCAGAGGCAATAGATAAATGCTACCTGGAACACAAGCATTTCTAAGCACGGTCCCAAACAAAAGATTTTCATGAGCTGACCGTGGCTTTTAAGCATTCATTTGACTGATTATTTTTATTTTCCTTGTTAAGTCATTGCAACAATTGCATGGGGGGAAAAGGATATTTTTTGAAAAGTTGCTTCTTCTACTTTGAATTTCTAAAAATTGAGATTAAAAATTTACCTTTTAAATATGCATAAAAGTATTTTAACTGTAATTATATTTTTAGTTGCTTTGTTATAATAGCATGCATATCAAATATAAAATGCATTTACAAAAACTTTTGTAAAAAATAAAGATTTTTTTGTTTCTCAAAGTTGCTTATAATTACTATTTTATATATTTATTTAGTGTAACCCCTTGATGTTAGTCTGTTTGGTAATCATAGATCATAGTTCTTATGGTAAACATGGTATCAGGCTGTATCACTAGTCAGCATACTCTACATCCTCTGTAAGGGTCCCCAAACTCCAAAGACTTATGGTCCCCCCGAGAAGCTCTCCTTTGCTTTGCACATTTGCTATTGCCAAATGTGTCCTGAATTTAATTCATTTTTATATTTTTAAAGGAACAAATCACTGTATTCAAATTTTGCACCATGATGACCCTTAAACAGTATTTCCATGATGTCTTTACCCATATACAATTGACAGGTACACTTTCTTTAAAATGGTATATTCTGCCATGTCTGAGTTATGCAGAGTCTGCCTTTTTTATATATTTGCTACCATCGACTCCTCTCTATTTTCACAGCTTTTAGTGTATTTGGGGCCACTCTCATCTCTTGTCTGGAATATTACAGTGCTTTTAAAATTAGTCTTCCTGTTTCCACCTCAGCTTTCTCAGATTTCACCATCCACATTTCAATCAGGGCAAGCTTTCTAAATTGAAAATCTGGTCGTGCCAGTCTCCTGCTTAATATTCCTTCGATGACTTCCCATAGTTTCCAGGATAAAATTCAGACTCCCTGGTTCAGCACACAGGGTCCATCATCTCTCCTCCAGCCCTTCCTCCATAGAGCCTTGTCTCCAGTCATACCAATTACTTTTTGCAGTGCCCTAAAAGCATCATGCTTTTCTTTGCCTCCATGCAGCACTTACAGTCCCCTTTTCATAGAATACCCTTCGCTCTTATCCCCCTAATTCCTACCATTCATCTTTTGAAATTCAACTATCCTTTTCTTTAAGAAGCTTCTCACATGGTTGTGTGGTTAACTATCCCTCTGCCCCACTCCCACTCAGACTGTGAGTTGAGGATGTAGCCCCAGTGCAAAAAGTCTGGCCCACAATGGATGCTCAAGAAAAGTTTCATGAATGAAAATCTCCTTGACTCTTTTTCACATGTTACATAGCATTAAGATGGCAATACCTGAAGGTACATTTCATGTATCCCTGTTTTTTTTTTCCCATCTTGTCAACTAGGCAAAAATAAGCTGATTTTCAGTTGAACCCTAAAATCTGTGGATGGTACCACAAATGAAGCTGCTCAGGGCTGGGAAGGGATTCACTATGTAAGAAAACATTATTCAGAAAGATTTCCTCTGGGCTCCAGAGAATCTTAAACCCACACACTGGCTGTTTTCCCAAAAGCTTTCTTCAGAAATCTCTCAAAACTTGGAATTTGTTTTCCTATGGAAGTTAGGATCTCCGTAACTGTTCCAAATCAAGTCAAACCCATCACATAACCAAAATAAAACCCTGAAAGCAGAAATCTGAATGGAGATATGGAAGCAGTACAACAGGGAAAAGAAAGATGTTCAATTTAACACTCAGCTGAACGCTTGCACTGGAATTTGTGTATTTGGGGTTGGAGCAAGGGGAAGGAGATGACTGAGTTGAGATATCTCTACCCTACCTCACATTTTTATAGGGGAATCATTTCCTTCCACTTTCATAGGCTGGCTAGGTGAAGCGTTTAAATCGACCAAATCTGTCTGTAGTCCCTTCCCCTCCCCTTGCTTCTTAAGGCTTCAAACTCCTTTCCTTACTCTCCCCATCCCTTTCTCTTCCATGTGTTAGGAGGAATGGGAACATGGTAAGCACACTAACTAGCTGAATGTCAGGAGCTCCATGCCATCTGTCATGATGAGTCTCCAAGGCTGTGGTTTGCTCAGCTTCAAACAGAGGGGACAAGCAGATCTCTCCAAGGACGGTTTTGGCTCAAGAAATCATACCAAAGGTTATTTCCAGTTTTGAAACCTAGGCATTAACTCCCATAAACCTTTACTTGATGGTACTTCAGTGAATGTAGTTCAGTATAGAATTCCAGGGATTAGCGCCACCAAAGGACAGATCAGTTTTTGCTTTAAGCTGTTTTCCTTTTTCAATATGTCTTCCATGTCTAGGCCAAGGGCATTCCAGTACCGAGACTTCCCAAAGGTCATTTAAGTTTTTTTTTCACAACATTCTGCAAAGGGAAAGAGGAGAGCCTGAAGACCTGGCTTGTAAACTAGAGACTGCCTGTTGGCATATTGTGGATGTGACTAAAGAAAAGATATTGAAATATGATAATAGCTTTATACTGTAATAAAACTGTGAGATTCTTGACTTGAATTAGAACCATTTCTAATTCACCTCTGTATCCCCAGGACCTACCACAATGCTTAACACAGAGTAAGCTGCTGGGTAAGTATTCATTCAGTGACTCAAAGCACTACCTAATCAGGTAAGAATGCCTATCCTCTGTTCTTTACAAAGTTGTTTTAACGATTAATTATGTATTAAATTGATTGTCATAAGTGACTCTCTATGGGCAGATCTTGAATAAAAAATTCAGAGTGATTTTATTATGAAAATACTATGGATATATATGTGCTTGTATTTACACACACAATATTGCAACATCCCAGAAAAAGTCTTTGAGTTTTTGTAATTTCATCTGTACCATTGGCATTTTTCAATGTTAAATATTTTTTTAGGTAAGAAGATGGTTATTATGTCCACAACATGCTTATCAGATGCAGCCTGATCATTCAACCCGGGTGTACAGAGAGGGTGGTCATTAGTATGTTCCTCCATTTGGGCAGAGCCAAAGAGCTGAGCCCTATGGCACTAGGAGGGGAGCCTCTGTGGAACTCTCTACCTAAACCACAAGGCTGCCCAGAGATGACCAGAAGGTAGTTACTAAACAGGGACTGATGCATTCTGCTAGTCTCTGAGAAGAAACCTCCTGGAACCTAAGCTCTTCTAGTGCTTGTTTCACTCCCAAGTAAAATGGCCCCCCAGTAAACTGGCAGGCCCAGGGACTGAAGTTAATTGCTGAGGACGACACTCCCTGTCACTTTAATGTGCTTTCGTTTCTCTGACCTTCCTGCACTGACTCAGGCTGACCCCCAGCTAGACTCTGTGTGCTCAGAGA